TGAAAAAAAAAAAAAACAAAAACAAAAAACAGTTTTCCAAAGGGCCTCAGTTAGCAGTCATAGGCATCCCTCTACCCCTGCACCCCTCCTGACTTCTCCAGTGTGTTCTCAGATGTTTCATTTCCCAATACAGACCTACTCCACTGAATTTCCATCATGCAGCATGAAGGAAAGAGATGCAGCAGACACATAAATATGACCTGGGTAGCACGTCCTGAAAGCTATTTGTGGAATGACTAGATGAGTTGATTTTGTTCTGGGCAAATCATACCTCCCAAAGGATGATTTTTTCCAGTGGAGCAACAGCTATCAGTGAAGGGCTGCTGGAATTGGAGAGGCAGAAAATTGATGATCAAATCATCTTTTTTTGAGCCACAAACTGTCCTTTCCACATCAAACCTCAGACATGACAGTAATATAAAGAAAACTTCCATATCTAGAGCAATGTGTTACAATGGAGCAAGCTGCTTTTAAGGGCCGGAAATCTGGCTCTTATAACAAGCACTACTGCTAAAGATCTATTTCAAAGGGCATAGAAAAGCACTCACTAGCCAACTTAACCTGAAATGTGAAGTCAGATAGACTGTGTAAGTTCAATATCACTAAGGCTGGTGAATAATCAGTGGAATGAAATCTCTGCCCAGAAAAATACCCTGTCTATGGAGTAATGCTGCAGACACCCCTGAACAGATGGTACCCAGAAAGGTCCATGACATTTAGAGAGGAAAATAGCTTTTGCAAGAAAAAAGCCCACAGGCTTTTTCTGCAGGCCTGATTCTGATCTCACCTTGCTGTAAATCATAAGTCACTCCATTTAGGGTGGAAGTTGAGTGAAATCAATTTAGGACCCTTAATTTTTAGGGAAGGATAATTATTTTACTCCCTCCTTTCCCATTTAAAGCAGTTCCTCAAGCATCCAGCTGGCTGCAGGCTGTAAAAGAGCATTTCTCTGGACGAAATCAATCCTCCCACCTTTAAATCCCCTGCCCTCTAGTAAAACACTTGAAAAACGTGTAAGAGCTATTTTTGTTGGGGTATGCCCAGTTGTCCCAGACATAATATAGACTGTCTCCCACTCCAAGATCAACTCAAGTGGCCACTGTGAAGCTGTGAAGTCAGAGACATGCAGCATGGGAGCACCAGAAGTACCTTTTAAAACAAAAGGTAGGTCTTTCCCCTTTCCATGTCAAATCACCTGCAGCAGGTGGAGATTCATCCAGCAAGTAGCTGCCCAACATGTTGTTCACCTCTGAAGACATCCACTCTTTATTTAGATCACACGCCTTTTCAAAACAACTCAGTTTCTCTGTGGGAAACTTAAAAAATTACTGCAAGATACATTTCTTCCTACATCTGTCAGGGTAATGTTGCACATCCTGATCTGTGTGAGAGATGAGCAGGCTCACAGATCAGGCTTGGTTTTGAGCCAGACACCACCAATATTAAAATGTGCAGCTTCTGTGCCCAACCCAGCATCCAAATTGAAATTATAAAAAAAAAATAATTGCACAAAGCTCTTGAGAGAACCTGAGTGATCCCTACCTCTGCGCACCCTTCAGCCACTGCAATAGCATTAAACCATCTCCAAGTAGGGTTAATTCTATCCTTATGATTTAAGTGAAAATGTTCTTTCTTTCCCAAGCGAGCTTGTAAAGTCATGGGAACATATTCTGCTGCCTTCCTGACATAAATCAATGGATATATTGGAGGGACAGGCCAAAAAATATATACATTTCTTGCCCTTCAGCTCTATTTCACCCATAAGTGTTTGCCCACATTCTGGAACAGGAGAAATGTTTTCTTTCCATTGAATTTCCCACTTCACTATTTCTATAAAAGTTGGCCATCATCACACAGTTGATATTAACAGCTTGACCCAGAATCTGCTAGGAAGAGGAACTCTTTCATGAGAATGACACTTACAATCCATCCAAAAACACCTGCAAACAGAATAAAGTGAAATAGAAGTGATTCTTATTCCTGAAGGTACTAATACAGATTTCTTTTCAGTCTGGCTTTCATTCAAACATACCTTTATTTAACACATAATTGACAATTTCTTCATCCTACTTCTGTTCAGAATATGCACAAATTCATCATTTTGAAAACAACAAAAGATAAAAAATAATGAAGAACCATGCATTTCTTTACAAAGTATGAACTGTTGCAGTTTGTAAATTAAGGCTGCTGAAAAGTGCAAGTTTATCCTCCTTTCTAAACTACCATACAGAACAGTTACAGACTGTAACAGGAAAGAAGTAAAGAAAATAAAAATATAATTAATTACATGAAACATACTCTAAGATCATAGAATCATAGAACAGTTAGGGTTGGAAAGGACCTTAAGATCATCAAGTTCCAACCCCCCCTGCCATGGGCAGGGACACCTCCCACTGAACCATCTCACCCAAGGCTCTGTCCAACCTGGACTTGAACACTGCCAGGGATGGAGCATTCACAACTTCCTTGGGCAACCCATTCCAGTGCCTCACCACCCTAACAGGAAAGAATTTCCTCCTTATATCCAATCTAATCTTTGCCTGTTTAAGTTTTAACCCGTAATCCCTTGTCCTATCACTACAGTCCCTAATGAAAAGTCCATCCCCAGCATCCCTATAGGCCCCCTTCAGATACTGGAAGGCTGCCATGAGGTCTCCATGCAGCCTTCTCTTCTCCAGGCTGAACAGCCCCAACTTTCTCATCCTGTCTTCACACGAGAGGTGCTCCAGTCCCCTGATCATCCTTGTGGCCCTCCTCTGGACTTGTTGCAACAGTTCCATGTCCTTCTTATGTTGAGGACACCAGAACTGCCCACAATACTCCAAGTGAGGTCTCATGAGAGCAGAGTAGAGGGGCAGGATCACCTGCTTCGACCTGCTGGTCACACTCCTTTTGATGCAGCCCAGGATACGGTTGGCTTTCTGGGCTATGAGCGCACACTGAAGCTGGCTCATGTTCGTTTTCTCATCGACCAACACCCCCAAGTCCTTCTCCACAGGGTTGCTCTGAATCTCTTCTCTGCCCAGCCTGTAGCTGTGCCTGGGATTGCTCCGTGAGCGTGAGGCTGTTCCTATCTTTCTTAGAGTACTTCATCCACAGATTCCTCTTGATCAGGCTATCTGTAGCAGGTCCCCACAATAATGTCCCCCATAGCTGTTGTCCCTTTAACCCTGACCCACAGGCTCTCTGTTATCTGCTCACCTGTCCCCAGAGTTCTATACACTCCAACTTATCCCTAACATAAAGGGCAACTCCCCCTCCACACCTGCCAGGCCTGTCCTTTCTAAAGAGTCTGTAACCTTCCATTCCAACATTCCAGTTATAGGAGCCATCCCACCATGTTTCTGTGATACCAATGATATCACATCCCCATAGGCATGCACACATCTCTAATTCCTCTTGTTTGTTACCCATGCTACAGGCGTTTGTATAGAGGCATCTGAGTCGAGCTCCAAATGAAGCCGGCTCATTGGCTGGAGCGGCTGGAATATCTCTACATTGCTCTGAGCATTTATTATAGGTGCTGGCAACTGACTGGGTGTGTTGGGATGAAATGATGCCCCTCTGCCCCAACACATCTAGTTTAAAACCTCCTTGACTAGTCTGGCAAGCCTCCTACCAAAACCACGACCAGCTCCACCAGCCCCCGTTAGACCTGGCCTACAAACTTGGATCCCATGTTCAAGACACCCAAATCCCTGACTATGGCACCACCATTCTAACCATTTATTAACCTGGCCAATCCTCCTAGCCTTTTTGGGACTCTCCCCTGTATCCTGGAGAATTGACAAATGGGCTATCTGAGCTCCAGAGCCCCTAACCACCTCTCCCAGGGCTCTGTAGTCCTTCTTCATGTTCTCCAGGCTACTGCTATCTGTATCACTAGCCCCCACATGGATCATCAGAAGTGGGTAATTGGGATTATGTTTAGGGTTCAAAGAAGTTGGGTGGCCCATATGAGAAAGATGTGGAAGGAGCAATGATAGTGCAGTGCTGTGGTCCCTTTGGTTTGCTTTTTGCAGTGTCAGCGTTGCTGAAGCTGTAGCCATTGTGGCTCTCTGAACCCTAACCCTTATATGAATGGCAGGTTGGAGATGAGGCTGAGGACCCCAGCTCCATGGGTTTCCCAGATGAGAAAGATGTGGAGGGAGCAATGTTGGTGCAGTTGCTCTTCCCTTGCCATGCTTTTTGCAGTGTCAGAGTCCCTGCAGTTGTAGGTGTTTTAGATCTCTGAACCCTAACCCTAATCCTAACCTGAACAGCAGGTTGGATCTGAGGCTAAGGTCCCCAGCACCATGGATGTCCTAGTTGAGAAAGGCAAGCAAGAAGCAATGTTGGTGCAGGGTCATGCTCCCTTGGCATGCCTAACCAGTGCCCCTGGAGTCCCTGTTGGCTTTGTGTCTCTCTGAACCCTAACCCTAATCTGAGTGGCTGGTTGGAGCTGAGGTTTCCAGCACCATTTGTGGCCCAGATGAGAAATCTGAATTCAAATTAGGGTTATAGTTCTAAAGAATCCCTGAACCAAAATGCTCCTGGGCTTTGCAGACCTGTGTGGGTCCTGCTCTGCTAGAGACCCACTACCCTTGTTGTGTCAGTAAGAAGTGCTTTGCTGAAGGTGACATCTGGGGAGTCTGGGATAGTGCAGAAACATTACTGTAGACCCACTGTCAGCATTGCATCCCACATCTGAGACAACAGTGTTACCCTCAGCCATAACCACCTCGTATCTCCTGCAGTCTGCACACAACTGGCCCCTGCTACTGCCTATTTTTGCTCAATTCAGCCACATTGCCCAACCTTTTGGAGTCTCTCCACTGTTTCCTCAAATCACCAAACATCCTCTCCTATACAACACTCGCTAGCCCACTGCCAGTTTTGTATTTGCTTGACAAGTAAAACAAACTAACTTTTTCTCAGTAATTTGGTCTCAGACATCATCCACAGTCAATAGTTCCCCATGTGAAAGAAGGCTCCCCATACATATTTGCTACGTATCTCACCTCTCCAAAAACACCTCTGTCTGAAAATTACCTTCTTACAGGATGTCCATTCCATGTGTTCTGCTTTCCTTGGGATTTCCTTCCTTGTCAGTGCCAGGCAATATTTCTTTTTGACAAGGCCAAAATTTGCTCCAGAAGAGCAAAAATGAGTTTGGGTTGAATTTGTATAACCCAGTTTCTGCTGGGGGAAAAAAAATATAAAAAGGATAAAGTTTTTTAAAAGTGATTACATTTTCAAAGCAGCATTCATTGTTTCAAAATTGAACAAAAATTAACAGTCAGTTCTGGGGGCCTGTTTTCTATCTAAGAAGCTAAGAGTGATTTTTTTTACAGTATGAATGCATGATAATAACATGTCCAAAAAATTGCAGCTTGAGATCAGTTTTGAAAACAAACCTATTCGTATTTTTGCATCAATTTGCCAAAATGTTGAACGTAACTGAATGCAGCTGTCACTCTTGGAAATAGGAGTTAATTATCTGCTGTGATCAGCTGTAATCTATTTTATTTCTTATTGACTCACATGCTTTGAAATCCTGTGTAGCAAGGTGACTGTAAACACTGCTGCACTGTTCCTAGATAGCGCATCACTGCAGTGATAGCAGCCACTCAGGGATATGTCTCTTTAAATAGAAAGTTTCCAGGTAGTAAACAGGCTGTCTGAAATATTTTGTTTGATGTCTATTATTATGTATTACTACTCTGATTTTTCCATTTTTATTTACATTGACATTTTCACTTTTCTCAGAGGTGCACAGTGAAAGGATGACACAAACTACAAAATCTATTTGGATATTAGGGAAGAAGATCTCATCATGAAGGTGGTCTGACGCTGTCACATATTCCCCAGAGAGGCTGTGGAGCCTCTCCCCTCAGAGATACTCTGGATTTGATACGGCATGGGCCTTAGCAACCTGCTCGACTTCAAAGGCAGCCTTGCTTTGGGCAGGGGTTTGGACCACGCTACTTCCAGAGGTCCTCTCCACCCAAAATTATTCTGTGATCCTGTTTACTTGTGTGTTAATGTCTCTTTAACAGTTCCTGTCCCCCCGTTTAATTTTTCAGCTTTTGAAAGGTTTTCTACTAGGGTCTTCTTTAGCATCTCAGGGATTCTGACACCTTAAGGATACACAAGAAATCACTGGATTTGTGAGTGAGCCCCTGAGGGTAGGTACCTATGTTTCATTGCTGAAGCATGTCCCTCATTGGGCTGACACCAGACCCAGACCTCATCCTCTGTGGCCATTGAGGCTGTGCCAGGAGCCCTGGTCCCCCATTTTCCTCCCAGAGATCAGGAGAAGCTGAGCTTCCAGTATCTGCCCACATTCCAGGCATCCAGCACATGTGAACAAGAGAGTAAAGCCACCAGGTTTGGGCTGTCCTTCTCTGGCAAGCCATCGAGCTGAAGCAGTTGCTCAGCAGAACTTTGAGGACTGGTTTATTTAGGTAAAATGTGTCTTCACTGAACAAGTTTCAGTGTCCAGACCTGGTGAGAGCAGAGAGAAAGCTCAGATAGAATGTGAGCTGAGAGCACAACCATGATCCAGCACACCTGGAGACATGGGTAATACTAGAGAAATTACTTTCTTTTTCCTTCATAAAGCCAAATAATTTATTTCCTGGCTTTTGCATTTTTATTGCAAGCTGCTACGTGTAAATGGCTTTGTTTATTTGTCCTGTAGCTTTATAGGTGGACACTTTTGTAATTAAGGGTGTTTTTAAGTGATATGTGTATAAAATTGAAGTGGGCAAGTGGAAAAAATAAACAGAAGGAAAGTTTTTAAGAAGTTATTTGAATTGGCCATGATGTTCTTCCCCACTAGCTAGTGAGGTTTTAATTAGCATTGAAAATCATAAGTAACTGGAGATGAAAGAACCCTATTAGGTCACTCAGTCCAGTTTCCTGCCAGTTCAGAATTGTGCCCAACAGTGTATTTCCCAGTGTTTTGTCAAGTCCGGCACTAAGCCTTTTCATTACATGAATAATATGCTCTTTTGAAGTAGCAGGAGGGGAACTGCTCACAATCCAGATCTAGACACTTTTTACAGTTTATAACAAAAAAGAATGATAAAGCAAAGATGCAAGCCAGTATAAAGATTTATATGCAGGACTCCACGTGGAGTATTTATTCTCATTATTCTTATAGGGGAGCGCACAAGTGGCCCAGTAAATATGAACGATGAACTAAATGTCGTAGCAGGGATTGCGGGAAAAGTGTTTAACTGCTTCACTCAAATTATTCTGAAGGGGCCCAAAGAAGGGGGAGAGAAGGAGCTGCAAAGCCATCTTCATTCAGCTCCTCCTGGCCTGGGTCAGCCCTTGTCCCACAGGGATATCATGCACAGTTCACTCACATTTAAAAATACAAAAACAAACCAACAAGAATTAAAAACAAAAAAACAAAAAAAAAAAACAAAACCCAGCAGAAACCCTCAAGGGTATATGCCTTGGGTGACAATTCCCATAAACAAGCAGCTGGCAGTGAGTTGTCAAAAAAAAAGGTGAAGGTTTCTAATAGACCAATGAGTCAAATCAGAGATCAGGATTGCTAGTGTGAAAACTACATTTTGGCAGATGGAGACAAGAGATCCCTTCACATCCAATAGCAAGACATTGTTAAGATTTCTTTAAAATATCTATAATATTTTTCTAATAAGAAAGGCCTCGCACAGTACACAATTCTCTGTTATACATCACTGCAAGCAAAAATTACAGACAGTAAATGACAACAGCAGTCTTGATCAAAAGGACATCAGCATGGACCAAAAAAAGCCAGTCTTAACCACTAGCCCACTTAAATACAGTTTTATAATGACATAGCTATGCATACAAAACTTACTCATAGAATCATAGAACGGCTTGGGTTGGAAAGGACCTTAAAGCTGATCTAGTTCCAGCCACTTGCCATGGGCAGGGACACCTCCCAGTAGACCAGGTTGCTCCAAGCCCCATCCAACCTGGCCTTGAACACTGCCAGGGATGGGGTAGCCACGGCTTCTCTGGGGAACCTGTGCCAGTGTCTCACCACCCTCACAGTTAAGAATTTTTCCTAGTATCTAACCTAAATCTATTACTCTTTCATTCTCCATTCCCCTTTGTTCTGTCACTACATGGCCTTGTCAAGGGTCCTTCTCCAGTTTTCCTGTAGGCCCCCCTTATGTACTGGCTGAGCAAGCCCAATTCTCTCAGCCTGATTTCATAGGAGAGGTGCTCCAGCCCTCTGATCATTTTCATGGCCTCCTCTGGACTCACTCACGCAGGCCCACTCCCTTCTTGTGTTGGGAGCCCCAGAGCTGAACACGGCACTATAGGTGGGGTTCACCAGAGCAGAGTAAAGGGGGAGAAACACCTCCCTCAACCTGCTGGTCACACTCCCTTTGATTCAGCCCAGCATACAGTTGGCTTTCTGGGCTGTGAATGCACACGCTGCTGGCTCATGTTGAGCTTTCCATCAACCAACACCCCAAAGTCCTTTTCCTCAGGGCTGCTTTCAACTCATTCTCCACCCAGCCTGTACTTGTGCTTGGGATTCAATACTACAGGTCTATCCAAGCAAAAAAAAAGAAAATTAGAAACAAAATTGACTAGGAATTCAAAACTAAGAAACAAAATTTAAATGGTGAATAGAATTCCTTAGATAGCCAAAGCCATAATGTCATAATCAAGAAAGATACTGACTAAAAGGCTACCCTAGTGAAGGGAAAGATGAAGTTAGAAATAAAGGAGCAATATATGATAGAAGGGTGAGGAAGAAAGAGAGCAACTAATGTAAATTTAAAACTGAAGTATGGAAAATTAATATGGAAGTATCAAGACATAAGGTTAAAATACAGCTAATAACTACAATAAAGGATATTTAGAAAACACATAATTCCTTGCAATATTAAAAAAAAATCATTCTAGATGATATCTGAATTGCATAAAGATATGCAAGGAGGCAGAAGTTTTGAACATCAAGTTCTGGACTATGTGTGGAAAGCAGAGCAAAATGCAAATACCATATTCACATGACATGAATAAGATGAGGAATATTTGACAATATCACAATAAGAAAGATGTTGAAGATCTATTAAAGGTAATAATTTTTATATGAGAAAGCCCACAGAATGTTAGACTTCTGCTTAAGGCAGTAGTTGTCTAACTTACATTCAGTTTTGGTGCTTCTTTGAATGCTGGAGCCATTCCACAGGCTCAAAGAGTACAGTAATTTGCCAGAGCACAGAAAGGGAAGGCCATGTGGCACAGGTAGCCAAAATCTGGGCAGCTGGATGCTAATCCTGAGCAACATTTACAAATTGATAATTCTATCACCAAAGAATGAGAACATGAGAATATAATTATTGGTATCAGTACAGTTTCAAAGGGAAACGGCTTTGTCATCCTAAGAATTAAGTCGGACTGCTGTTTATTAGGTTATTAAGTGTCCAGTATACACGCCAACTTCTAGGGTGTGTTCAGCTCCCTAAAATTAGCATTATATGCAGTCAGTAAGGGCTGCAGTAACTGAACCAAGTGCTAACTAAATGACATATCCAAAAGTAGTTATCAGCAGGTGAATTTTCCATATGGTGCACCTGATGGAGAGCTCTGCAGTGATCAGAGCTCGGCTACGCTATTCAGCTCACTTTTCATCAGTGGCTTGGGAGTAATAAAGAATGTTTTAAAGCAGTCAAATGCAGAGCAGCACACCTAAGAAGGAGTATAGAGCAATGTGACAGTATGAGAGCCCTAATTCTCTTTAGAGAATTCATCAATTTTTTTCCTCATCAAATGGCTTTAACCCATAACTATGTGGTCAAGCTGAAGAGTCCCCAAAGGAGATGAGAGCTCCAACTCTGTAGCATGATGACAGTGTTCAGCTGCTATATGGATGCTCATGGTCAGATTGCATGGTGGATGACTTAGCATTACAGCTCCAACAGATGAAGTGTAACAACAGCAAAATCCACACAACGTGCCTTACTTAGGTAACAGGGATGGAGAATCAAGTCCTTGGCTGGGCTGGAGATGCTGAGGGACAATACCACCTCATGCTTCAGGAGAGGACCCCAATTAGCTTTCTGCTTGTGAGCTCTTTGCAGTACCAGAAACTATTTTAAACCTCTTACAGGTGAAAATGTACCAAGCAGAAAAAAAGTTTTGTCATGAGTTCAGTCACTGTATCCACCTACAGATGTTAA